CAACCTTTTGTTGGGGTGCTTTTGGTCTGTGCCCACTGGCATGTCTAGTTTGCCCCATTTCTCTAGTCCCCAGTCAGGGCAGATGAGGCAAAAAGGAAAGCCAGGGGGCTCATCACTGTCATTCCTGGGATCCCAAGTCCCCAGCCTCTCTGCTTGCCCCTCTCTTCCATTCAGAGTCTTCCAATATATACAGTGTTCAGGGTTTTATTGGGCTGTAGTAAGACGAGTAGGAAAAACTTTATGTCTACCTGATTTCTAGTAAGCAGCAGTTACAGGTAACCATTTTTGAAAGGACTTTGGGTTGAAGGGTATGCCCACCAGCAACTTTTCCCAGAGACTAGCCAGAAGCGCAGCCTAGTTTGTTGAAAGGAAAGTAGCTCAAGGCAAGCCCTCATCTGGGAACTTTCACATGAATCTGAACCAGTGTGCTCCCTACCTTGTGCAGGAATGCTTGGAACATAACTCAGGCCCACCCTTTGGGTCTGCAGGATAGCCTGACTTATCCTCAGGGGATCAGATACCTGCCTCTCCTGCCCAGCCACTCGACCAGAAAACAGCAACAGTCCTAGCACACCATAAAGCTTCCAGAGCACACAGTCCTCCTGTGCCAACTTCCTTTTGGAATTTCTGTTTGGATGGCCTGAAGTCTGTTCTTCAGGTTATGATGGGACTCTTAGGAAGAGAATGCCTTGGGGCCTGTCAGAGGGAGGGATGCTGCCTTAGGAAACTGCTTGTGTGTCTTCAGTCCTGTAGTGATAGCTGGTGGGGAAGGCACTTCTGGATTTACTGACACGGATGGTTAGTCAGTCTGAGAAATAGTCACCGAAGCAGTGGCACTTTCTGGGATACCTTCTCATGCCTGTGAGATGAGGGTAGGGCGGCTGAGGCAGGATCCCAGGTTTTCCAAAGAGAAGAAAGCTCAGAGAGAGAGGATTCAAAGACCCAAGACTAATACAGGTGTGCACTGCAGCCTCCCTCAGCAGACCTGCCTAGGGCTGAGGGGGACCAGGGGAAATGAGTTAACACCATCCTAGCCTTCCTAGACTGAAGGCTCTGTTGGGGGGGACACTCACAGTAACATCACTGTGTAGGGAAATGATGTCATTATTACAAATTAAGGAAAGGAGAGATACTTGATAGTGCCAAGGGCTGTCAGAATGGGCTCCTTTAATGAAGGGGCATTTTAATGCAGGCTCAGAGAATGGGCGGGATTGCCAGGTGGAGAAAAGATGATAGAACAGTGCAGAGGCCCAGGCAGAAGAGGAGACTGCAGCAGGGTAGACTGTGCAAAAACAGGTAGAATGGAAGATGCAGTTTGAGAGATGTTCTGGACTTGGCTGTGGCTTGTGGAAAGGGTTACAGAGTCTGGATGTTCTTCCTTTGTAAGAAGCACTGAGTTTATGCAGGGAGCAGCCTGAGCTGTTTTGTAGTATCAGACTGGCCCCTCACTGGCCCACAAAGGCCTGCCTTCCTGCTGGTGCTTCAGCTATACGCAGAGCCCTCTCCACTCCAGGCTATCTTCCTGCATGTGTGTTTTGCAGGTCCTCGCCTCCTAGGCCTCTCACCCCTCCTAGTTGCTTACTCGATGGCAGTGCAGGGTACACGGTACCTCACTCTCTCCCAGTGACCCTATTGCTTCACAGCAGATACATTGTAGTCATCCAGCTGGGACACCAGGTCAGCCCTTTTTTGTAGCTCTTTGTCCTACCTTGTTCTTCCCCTGTCTGACCTGTCCCTGTTCCTTTCTGCTTCCCCTCTGACTTCTGTGTCTGGCACGTTCCAGTTCCCTTCCTACAAACCAGTGGAGCAGCTCATTGCCCTTTGAAACCTTTGTCCCTATCAATTTGTATGAAGTTTCCCAAGTCTGGTTGGGGGCAGAATCACCTGAAAACTTACATAATGATCCCCATCCTTAGGGTTGGGAGAACAACACACATTAGTTTACACTTCCTTTGGACTGTGTGCATAATAGGCAGGAACATTCTCCTATTTATCTTTGCTTTCCCATAGCCTGACAAAGGCCTTGGTAAGTGATTGATTGATTGATTGATTGATTGATTTATGCAAGCACTGGGTACAGTCAGAAGTGCGGGAGGGTGAGAGAATTCACCAGAGCCAGAGCAGGGAGGAGAACAGGCAGAAGGACCGAAGTACACTGCTGAGGGGAACAGTGGGCGGCAGGAGAGGTCAGCCCGCCATGTGAGACCCTCGCCTGGCAGCCGGGGACCGAACCAGCGCTGCAGAGGCTGCGGGCAGCTTTGCAGCCCAGTGTGCAACCGTTGCACCACTGGGGAGGCCCGGTAAGTGATTTAAAAAAACAAAACAAACAAAAAAACAGCTCTATTGAGATCGAGTTCATATACTGTATAATTGACCCGTTTAAAGGATACCATTCAATGATATTTAGTGTATTCCCAGAGTAGTGCAGACATCACCACAATCAATTTTAGAACATTGTATCCCTTAGCTGTCACACTCCTCTCCACCCCAGCCTTCCATCCCCCCATCCCCAGGCAACCACTGACCCACTTTCTAGCACTACAGATTTGCTTTGGTGAATGTTTTTGATGGAATGTGCCAGCCCTTCCTCCCAGAGCACTTGCTTCTTGTCCTGTGCTCTTCATTGGTCCAGCCTCCCCACCTTCTAGGACAACCTGCTCACCCCAGAGTTCAACTCCCTTCAGATGATCTGATAAGGAAGTCATGGCTAAGTGAGGAGTGCTGGCAGGCTCCCTGATGTACATACAGCACACAGTAGGCCTGAGCTGGTATTTGTTGAATGAGTAAGGCTGCTGGCATTGGGCTGGGATGAGATTGTGACTGGGTTCTGAGGGGACATATACCAGCCCGTCAAGTCTCCTGCCTCTTTTGGGGGAAAGGTGAGAATGATATGATTGATAATGTGAAGTTGCCCCAAAGCCCTCCAGCCAGAGGCTAAGAGGTGATATATAATCAAAACTAGAGAGAAATGGAGTAAACCTGGCTTTGGGGCCTAACCTAAGATCATATGTTGGGAAATTAGAGACTGAGAGGCAAAATGGGGAAGTCACCTGGCTCAGGAGACAGACAAGGATTTGTCCTACCCTAGTGCTTACCGCCCCCTATCCCCAATCCTGTGTGGGGCTTTTATGTTATCTGCTGAGTGTGCACATCTCTGACTGGTGCCAGCTTTCTTTTTAGCTTCTGTTTTCCTAGGCAAAAATTCATTCCACATACTCCATGGCCCTTGTGAGCTTGTCCCTTTAATCTCTGCTTCCCTGTCAGACCCCTCTCCTGAGTTTGATGGGAGTCAGTCTCACTTCCTCCTGCCCACTCCATGCCCCTTGCCTGAAGCTCCTCTTACCTGCTTTGTCCACATCCATGAGAAACCAGTGCTTCCCTCCGGGGTCTTGAGGATCCTACGGAAGCCAAGAAAAGAAAATGTTCTTGGCTCTCCTTGATGTTCTGTGACCTCTGGCAAGTGACCTTCCCTCTCTGAGTCATAGATTCCATAGCTATAAAATGAGGTGGTGTGAAGAGGCCTCACAGTTTGGAGTGATGAATAAAAGGCATGTTAAGAGGCCCCCTAAGGTATACCCAGAGATCCCTCTACCTGTGTAAATAGCAGTGAGAGAGTTTGGAGTTTTGCTAACTGTCCTCCAAAGGGTAGTAGGTCAATTGACCTGGTTGTGCCTTTCCAGTCTCACCACCAATTGGGTGTGGCTAAGAAGGGAGGTGGGGCCAGAATATTTGTCTAGGTCTTTTCATTCTTGTTGTGCTCCCACTACAGGATCTTTGGGGGAAGGAGAACTCTTTAGATGTAAATATAATGATAGTTAACAATTATTAACCACAGGCCAGGCACTCATTGTTGTTGTTTTTTCCTTATACTTTTTTGAGATTATAACAATTTGGTAGTTTTGAACATATTTGTATGGTCACACAATTATCCGACTAATTCCAGAACATTTCATCACCCACAAAAAGAAATCCCATACCTGTCAGCAATCACTTCCCATTTCCTTCTCCTTCCAACCCCTAGCAACTACCAAAATGCTTTCTGTCTCTGGATTTGTCTGTTCTGGACACTTAATATAAGAGGAATCATCTTTTTGTTCTTTTGTGACTGTCATTGACTTAGCATAATATCTTCAAGGGTCATCTGTGTTATAGCCTGTATTGGTTGTTCATGCTTTTTTATTGCTAAGTAATATTTCACTGTGTGGCTGAACCACATTTTGTTTATTCATTTATCTGTTGATAGACATTGGGGTTGTTTATACCTTTTGGTGTTTGTGCATAGTGCTGTTATGAAAACTCATGTACAAGTTTTTGTTTAATCACCTGTTTTCCGTTTTCTTGTCTATATGTTCCTAGGAGTGGAATTTGGGGTCATGTGGTAATTCTGTTTTCCTCAGTAGCCATACCCGTTTGCATTCCTGTGCTGTGTTTTACTTGTATCATCTCATCAGTACTCACATAAACTTTATAAGGTATAGATATAATTATAATCATCCTCATCTTTCAGATGGGAGGATTGAAACTCAAAGGGTTTTTTTTAGCCCAAGGTTACACTGTAAGTAAGGTAGTGATTCTTTGACCTGTGTTAGCTTTGATCGCTATGCAGTGTCTTTCCTCCAGGCCCTGTTTTGTGCCATAGGGAAGTTTTTGTCTGTCTGTTTATGTGCCTGGCACATATTGACACTCATGGTTATGGAAGAAAATGCCATTTCCCTCTGATCTTGGTGGCTTGATTAAGAACTTAAGGAGGCATCCATTTATTAGCAGTTCCTGTATTCTGCAATATTTCAGACTGTGTTGTGTTGCTCTCTCCATATCAGAGGTTACAGATCTTCCATGAGCATCTTGCTGTCCAACAAGGAGATTCCCCCTGTAGCTGTGGAATGAGATGCATGGCCTATGTTGAATAGAGGTGACTTCTGTGTCCAGCAAGCACTTGTCATAAACTTGACTCTCTTGTCCAAGGCTGCTGATGACCTGACCTCCTTTTTCTCCTCCAGGCAAAACCCATTTATGGTGGCTGGCTGCTCCTGGCTCCAGATGGTACTGACTTTGACAATCCAGTGCATCGGTCTCGGGTAAGAGCAAACTTTTGGGGTGAGAGGGAATGAAAAGGGGCCTATTCAGGGCATATTGTCAGAATTGAAGAGGGAGATGGGAATATTATAGGTGGATCCTGCAATGGCAGGATCAGCAGGGAATTCCCATTTGATAAACTGATAGGTTCTAAACGAAAATTTTCAATTTTACATTATTATGCTTGGGCCTCCCTTCAAAAGGTGGTGAATCTCTCACATGGTACTGCCAGTTTCTTGGGTCATCTCGAATCTAGAAATGGAAATAGATAAATGGAAAAAGTAAGAGTAGTTCAGCAGATATTGCACTGTGCTAATTAATTAGGCTTCTAGTTCCGTCAGTGTCAAGGCAGCTCCCTCCTTCTTTCCCTTAGGGCCAGGAGCTCAGCAGATAAATGCTTCTGGTAGGGAAGAGAACCTTGAGGGCCAGCTTTGTTTTTGCCACATCTCTTTTGGGGACCTCAGCCCAGTGTGGGTCCCTGCTATGCACAGGCTGCTGGCAGCAACCAGGTCTGAGCTGTGGGGGATAGATTGCCAAACTGGCATTATCCCTTTTCCAGTGTTCTCTTCTGGGTGCTGCCACTCACCCTCTATAAATTGCTTGAACTCTGATTCCTTCCCCATTACTCTGGAGCTCCTCTGCCCTGCCTCTTGGTGTCTACTGCCGCCAGCCTAAATTTCACACTCTGGGCTGGGGTCCTCAGTGGCCCACAGACCTTGTATTGGTGTCTGGGGTCTTTGGGGTACCTTTTGGAATGGGCAGTGACTTCAAAGACAATGAGAACCTTGAAAATGTTTCTTGGAAAGATTCTAGTCCTCTCCCTAGACTCCAGCATGGAACCAGCCTTCTCTGTGTCCTCTTCTCAAGGCCATTTGAATGTCCTGTTCATACCACCAAGGTGGAAGGAAAACAGAAATGACTATGATTCAATGCTCACAATTACCAGGAAGTAGCCCCCTTCCTGTTTAATATTTAGGTCAGACAGAATTGCTATTTCCAGCTTCTGATGGGAAAATCATTATTATAAGTGATATAATTCTGACCCAAAGCAGATAGACATGATATATTAGTTAGTGCTTGTAACCTTTTCGTCAGTAAAAGTATGGCTTTTTTTTTTTAAGCTTTTTGAAATGTTGAAAATAGGTCATGGATTCTCATGATGATCTTTGGGATTCAGGGACCAGCAGTCTCGTGTTCTAGACACTGCTCTTCTCCCCGCAAAAGCAAGGCATATACTCTCAGGGGCTTTTTATTCTGCTGTCAGTGCCCGTGGGCACCCAGTGGCCTGGCCCTTGAGTGGAGCATAGAAGGCAGATGTTTGCAGGTTGGTCACTCCCTGGACATCGTTCCTTCTGGTCTCATGCCTCAGTTTATATCTGTGTTAGTTCCTTACTCCTCAGTAAATTGTGGAGCCCAGGCCTCTTCCCCCAGTCTCCCATTCTCATGGATCATTGGAACAATCCCTTTATAGCAGTTTCCCAGATTTTTTTGAAAATAGGGAATCAATGCCTGGCATTTAATCAAATGAACATTGGCATACATTATGTGAAAAGCTCTGTGAGGGGTACATAGAAAATTCAAAGGGGTGACCAAGATATTGTTTCTGTTCCTGAGGAGCTTGTAAATTAAAAAAAAAAAAAAAAATCTTTTTAAGTCTCAATAACTTGTATAGAAGCACACTGAATGGTTTGGGGCCACTCCCTGGCCTAATCCTGGCTAACAAATCACCATTCTTCTGCCTTGGGTCCCTCTTTTCCTGCCATCTGCCCCAGAAATGGAAGTTCTGGAGCTGGCATTCCTTAGATGTGGTTTGGTCAGATGGGGGCTCAATAAGCAGAGATTCAGGGCCAGACCATCCTGACTACCCGTTCTGTACTCTGTTGCAGAAATGGCAGCGGCGGTTCTTCATCCTCTATGAGCATGGCCTCTTGCGCTACGCCCTGGATGAGATGGTGAGTGTCCTCCACCCACTCCCTGTCGCCAGCCAGGCCCCTTTGTTTTTGCTACATTTGTGCTGTCTGTGAATACGGCAGCTGGTGTTCATGTTTGGGCTTCTATTTGGGTGTTGGGATTTTTTTAAGGAATTCGTAGAGATGGCCCTGAAATGCCAAACCTTTGGTTTGAGGCATCCTCAGTGATCATAAGAAAGAGTAAGTGGTGAGGCAGGAAATCATTTCGGATCAAGGGTGACAGTGTTGGACATGGCCAGAGTGATTGTAGTAGAGGAAAGAACAGGCTATGCATTTGTAAGATGGGGGTGGGGGTGCAGATGGCGCACCCAGCTATTCCTTGTTCTGTTGCTGTCATTGGTTTTGCTTATCCAATTCGGTCATGGTATAATTTTCTTAGCTGGCTTACTTTAGAGGTCTTCCTGGTCATGGGGTCTATGTTCTTCTGGTTACTGAGCAGACAGACTCCTTCCTGCTCTGCCACCCACCTGGTTTTCTGGATAAGTATTTACTATTGTTGATCCAGAGACAAACCCAAAACCAACAAGGTAGAATGGCCTTTTCCCACCCATTTTGTCTCTCTGAAGATTAATCTTTTCTAACTAAACTTTGACCAAATACCAAGCTTTGTAAAGGATTGAATATGGACAATTTGAGCATCTTTTCCTGTACTGTTTGAAGTATGTGTGAGTGAGCACATGTACATGCATACGGGCAAAATTTGAAAATTGGGACTGCCCTGGAAAATTGGATCACACCATGTGATTCCTGACTCACTGACCCTAGGCCCCTCAGAGTCCTTTCCTGTGCTGCACGTGTGAAAGCAGGGATCTGGAAGGGGGAGCAGAGATGGTTCTTTCCAAGGACTTTCTAGACTGTTGGGACACTGGATTTTAGAGTAGATACTCACTTATGTGACTAGGCTATAAGTGGGTTATTTTTATACTTGGGTCCTAATCTTTTGTGAGGTGATGCTGTCTCTTTTGTTTCTAAAATGAATTAATAGGTGTGATGCCTTGTTCTATATTAACTTACCACCTCATTAGGTCCTGCTTTAAAAAATTTTTTTTTCCTTCTCATTTTGTCTGACAAAGCATACTTGTACAGTATGTTCATACAGAGTGTTTTTGCCATGGAAACATCTGTAGTTCAGAGTAGTTTGAGGTGACTGATTGGAGGTGAGTACTGAAGGAATGTTATAATTTGTTAGAGGTAAGAGCAGGACACTCATATCCTTCGGGGAAAGAAACCAAGCCTAGAGTTCCCCCTCTGTGTTCTTGCAACTTGGTTGTCATGTGGACAGTAGCCCTGGGGAGAGAGCTGGGCTCCTAAGAGCCATGAGGTTTACTTTGTCCTCCCTGTGCCTGACTGACCTGTTCTTAAGCCTCACAAACACTAACAATAGAGAAGGGGCCTCAGCAGGTCACTGGATTACATCCAGGCTGGGCTGGGGCCATGATCCATCCCAAAAAAGAGCTTCCTGAACTTTCCTTGGAGACCGATTATTCTGGTCAGGAAATCTTTCTTTAGGTCTAACTGGAGTCCAGCAGAATCCATTATTCCCTTCGGCTCAGTTGCACAAGCACAAAGAGAGTGGCTACTGGGACGCCTTTGTGTCAGCGCAAATGCAGAGCACATGCTGCATCCTAAGCACCGCTCCTAAATAATTGAGACTGTTGAACCATGAGTACTGACACCTTACAGTACATTTTGGTCTCCCAGCAACCTGGATGTTGGTTGGGTATTATTTCATGTGCTTTTGGGGCAGATATGGGACTGTGCTAGCAACATGGAAAAAGAAGCCCCAGGAAAACCTTGGACCACAGAGAGGGCATTGAGGGGATGCCAGAGTTCAGAGTTTTTGGCCATGGTCTACTTTCTGGCAGACATCTTGGAGCTGAAGAGAATGACCTGATGAGATAGGGCTGATCACCCAAACTGGGGACAGTACAACACATTATACCTCCAGGGAATTAAATGTTATTATCTCTCTAGGGAAAGAAAAAAACAAAACAAAACAAAAACAGTGGCAGTTGCGTTGAAATACTTTGAAAGTAACTTTTGAGGGTTTTCCTGTTGTGTAAGGAAAATCCCATAGGGAAAGCCTCAAGGAAGCTGCAGACTGCACTTGAGAAGAGGCCAGATGGTAGGAGGTAGTCTGATGCCAGCTGCTCAGTGGTCAGTGTTGGCACTTATTGCTGTGGGGCTTGGAGAAGGGACTCCTTGTAGGTAGTCTGATGCTCAGTGGTCAGTGTTGGCACTTATTGCTGTGGGGCTTGGAGGAGGGACTCCTTGTAGGAGGGATGTCTCCCACCCCATTGGTCTGCATCAGGGCTTGTTCTTCCTGACTGCTCCTCCAGACGAGCAATCCAGACAGGAACTCTACCTTAGTGGTCAGCCTTCTTGAAATCTGGCTCCGTCTTAACCTGTTCACAGGGTCCTGAAACCTGGAGCATATTTTTTTTCAGGCAGGCTCATGTATGAACTGGATCCAGCCATGCTAGTTCTCCCTTTTGGTCCCTGGAAACAGAGCCACGGTCCTCAGTCAAGGGCTACTGTGCTGCCAGGGCCTCCTGGCAATGCCTGGAATCATATTTGATTCTCAGAAGTGTATGGGGGTTGAAGGGGCTGCTACTGGCATTTAGTGGGTGGAGGCCAAGAATGCAGCTAGGCATACTACGAAGAAAAAGAGAGTGATCCAGCCCCAGATGTTAGCAGTGCTGAGACTGAGAAATTCGGTGTCAGTGGCTTTAAAAAATTTTAATTTATTTTTAAAAATTAAAATACAAATTTGATATATGGAAGCTCTAACTGCTTAGAGTTCCTGGGAGTGAGGGAGGTGATGGTACAGGGTTAGCCTGCTGGCTGGTGTGGCAAGTACCAAAGGTGGAGTAGAGGGGGGCCTCTGCCTGGTGTGGGTTCTGTAGGCTGTGACCTGCACATCAGGCTACCACAGGGCTAACAGAACTGCTTAGATGTATTCTTTTACCCGGGAACCAGAGACTCTTACCCAGTCTCTTACCTAAGCAGAGTGCTCAGACCACAGTGCCTATGTCATGGTCCTTTCTTGGTGTCATCTTCGTTGACACATCTTGGTGCTGGTCTCTAAAAACAGCAGCTCAGAGCAGCCTGTGCTAATCAAACCACTAATCACACCACAAATCCTGCCACTCCTGCCAAGTTTAGCTCCAGCTCTCACCTTTCCCCTGAAAGGACCCCATGCCTGTGTAGCTAATCTATTGCCTGTAATAAAATGTAGCATTTTATGGCTGGGCTGTTCCCTTAACACTTAGTCACAATCTGTTTCAAATTGTTACTTGACTTTTATACAATATTATTATTTGCTTGCATTTGTTTAAATGTTCTTTTACCAACTAGATTTTGACTTTCTTTTCATTGTTGGGCTCCCTGATAATTCTTGGTATCTCTGCATTGTTTGGCTTGGAACTTGGGTGGCACAAACCTAGTAAATATTTGTTGAGTTGAACTAACTAACTTAAATGTACTGCTGCAGAATTTCTGCTTCCAGCTTGAGGGGGCGGAGGGGGAGGAGGCCTGGTGAGAAAAGAGAGAAATTGGGACCCAGGGTGCTTCTGGGACAGGGATTAGGAGAGTTTTTCACTGCAGCTGTCAGTGTTCCTCAGCAGAAGGGAGGAAGCCCCCACCCCCACCCCCCCAGGCTCCAGAGAGCAAAGTGGGGGAAAGTTGTCTTCGGCCCCCTGGGTTGGATCATCAGGGACTCAGGGAGGAGGAGGCTATAGTCCCTCCATCAGTTCCTGCCTCAGGGCTGCTCTGAGAGGCCTTTCTGCTTGGGGACTTCTGCAAGGACCTCAGCCAACTGCTGCCTTTCTTTTCCGGCAGCTCTGTGATGGGACTAACCTTTAGGAATCACTTTTCCTTTTTTGGGAAATTTCTTTCTCGATACACCCACATACCCTGTAACTGGTGGGTGGGGAGGAGAGGCAAAATACCCAAAAAAGGAAAAAAATTTCCCAAATGCAAGCTGAGGTGAGGTGGGCTCAGGGCAGCTTCACAGACAAGTGGGAGTCTGAACAATGTGGCTGGGCTTACGGTCTTTCAGGAGTAGATGGAGTGAAGACGCTACAAACTCAAACTGCTACCTCTTTCCTCTGTTTCTGATCCTCTCCCTGTAAAATGCTGCTAATTGTTATGCCGGGTCTTTCTACTTTTCCTTGAATTTTTGGGGACCAGCTAAGGTGCTGGTATCATTAGAACCCATACATGACCAGAGGGCTTTCCTGGGGGAGCACACAATCCAGAAGGGAAGCAGAAGCCCCCAAGTCTCAGGTGGAACACACTGGGCCATGAGGTGTCAGGGTTCCACAGTGGGACTGCACTTGAATGACTTGGGTGGCTAGGTCTCTTACATGTTCTCTATTTCCCTCCTGGAAGCAAGGCAAAAGGACAGTCTAAGGTTTGTTGTTGTTGTTGTTGTTGTTGTTGTTTAATTATGGTAAAATGTATGTAACAGACTTTACTATCTTAATCATTTTAAAGAGTATAGTTCTGTGTCATTAAGCAAGTTCATGTCCTGTCACCATCACCACCGTCCATCTGCAGAACTCCTTATCTCACAGAACTGAAACTCTGAACCCATTAACTTCTAACTCCCCACCCATCTTCCTCTAGCCCTTGGCAGCCACCATTCAACTTTCCATCTCGATGAATTGGACAGCCATATGTAAATAGCCTCAGAGAAGTGGAATCATGCCGTATTATTCCTTTAGTGTCTGGTTTTGTTCACTCAGCACATCATTCTCAAAGTTGACCCATGTTGGAGCTTGTGTCAGTCTGTTCCTTATTTTTTAAAACTGTTGAATGCTAATGCTGTTGAACCCCACCTACTCTGAGATAAACTGACCCTAGAGAGATGGTACCCCACTTCTGTGGCAGGTGTGGGGTATTAGAGCTGGTCTTTTGCTATGTGGCACTCCCTCCTCAGCTTTGAATCCTTCTGAGTCAGGACAGACCAGAGTTACATG